TATATGCATTTCATTCTTTCATTTCACAGAGGTATGTGTATAGAATCTTTTCTTGATGAAAATTGCCCATCATTTTCTTTTTTTTTTGTATAGAGAATAACAGGTTTTATTTAAGTACTAAAATATCTGCAAACTGAAATGTAAAGCACTTTAATCGTATTGTAATAAATAATATATAAAACAATCTATGAAGTTTGTATGAAAAGATTAACTTATACCGCTTCATTTTAACTACCTACCTATACCTTTCCTAGAATATTCCGATTTTTATTTCGTTTTCAATTTTAAGATGTGTAAAATTCTTAAGTGCCTTATTAAGTTATTTTCTAATAAGTCGACTTAAATTCGAGGACACAACACAGCTTTGAAATGTTGTTGAAATTATTGATAAAAAAGCTTTGTTATTTGTGCCCCACTTTGACATTATTTATAACTACCTAATATTTTACTCTTAAAACAATATATATACATAGTATAGACACACAGCGCTTCCCGATGTATGTGCGCTGAGACCTTTTTAAGTATAAATTGATTTTAATGCAGTTTTTATAAATATAGAGTGGTTCAAGGTTTATATGTACATAATATGACCACGTGGGTGTGGGCGAAGCCGCTGGCGAAGAGCTATTTTTAAATAAACCTATGATATGCAGCCACAGGGGCCCATATTTAAATCTAAAAATATATTTAATATCTATCGCAAACCCTTTCAATATAATTCACAAATTTCACGCTACAACTATTTGACATGTGATTGTGTACAATATTTGACAGGGGATAGCAACGTTTGTCGACGGATGTTGAATTAACGATATCGCTAATTTGAGTTGTATAAGGCAATTAATGGACGCAAATGTAACTTTTAAGTTACGACGTTTTTATTGTTTCTCGACCATTCAAGTCGTCATTCGTTCAAAAGCTATTGCTACTATAAACGTTTCATAATGCCATAAATCATAATCGATATACTTTTGAAAGGGAGTGCGATAGATTTTGAAATAAGACAATAGATCCACATGTTAGTGCTCTTTATTGTTATATAGTGATGTACCAAAAAAAACGGACAGTGTCGGTGATGAAAAATAAGTCACGAGGTTGCACAAAAACTAAAATTTACATCGAATTAAATATTCTGATATTGAGTCATAAAATGAGTTTTTTATCTGTGAATAACCTCACCTTAATCCAAAGAGTTCTGTCATCGTTCCTTAACACTTCAATTTAATATTGTGAATATATCCAGCAAATAGTGTTTCTACGGCAAAAGTTGTTATTATTGCCGTATTGCTTACTTCTTAGCCTGGTTTTAGTGTCGCGCTGACGACTACACGCATAGCTACTATCGCAAGCTGTCAACAGCTATGCGCTTCAGATGCAAGTACAGATATGGTCATTCCTATGACTGTTCAAGTTACAGCCGTGTATCATTTATGGAAAAAGAAGCAAAAGACAACGAAAAGGTGGAACACATAATGTACGTCCACTTATTGTTCAAAAATTGCTAGTGGGTACATTTGTAACATTGTTCAACCGTAGCTAAAATAATTAAAGGATGACGAAATCAAGTTCTATGACTACGTTCGCATACCAACAAGAGGATTTGCAGATTCACTGGCAGAGTTAAGAGATATGTTACTACGTTGCAGTAGGATTTGTTTCTAGCATTTTTATGGATCGGTAGCTCGTGTCTTCATTGCGAATCCATATGACTGTACATGATGTCTGCTCGACACTGGAACGCTCTATGGAGCCAGAGGCGTATGTGCAGTGGTCAGCGTCGTCCAGTATACTCGGTGTGATACTAAAACCAGTCTACTACTAAGAGAAATGGCAACGTACTAACGCGTGCTCTTACTATGTCACAATTTTACTTATGTCTTTGCCTGTAACATGACCTGCTATGGTATGAAGTCGCTTCAACTACATATTTATTTTCATTGACACACTACAGGTAACAATCAAATCATTATACAATTAACAGCACATCCGGCTCTACAAATTATCATATTGCTCCACTCGATTTTAAACCTTTATGTTGTGAGTAGAGAATCAATATACAATCCCGGCCACTTTTTTCAATCTCGGGATTACGGGACTATCGATGCGTGATCTCGGGATCCCGGGCCCCAGGCTTAGACTGTACGGTACACTGTAGATGCGTAAAGCCCGCCACCACGCCCCCGTCACGTTGCCAGCCCTCCGCGTCCCTGATCACTATTTGCATACACCCACAACTTTCTAACGTACTTACGACGTTCATTTTCCCATTTTCTATACATATAAGCATTAATTTCTTTTTTTTTTTTTGTTAAATTAGACAAGTTCTTGCGAATTCGTCACGTGCAATTTTCGTAACTAGCAATGTAACATTATTTAATCAACAGTATACTAGATCGGTAAAATTATCTTTGACGGCGTTCCGCGGTGGCGGTGCAGTGGCGGGCTTTACGCAGCGCATATCTACGTTAAGGCGCCATGGCGGCGTCAGTTGTACCTGTGTAGTTCCTATCGTATTAACGGTGGGTCTAAGGGTAAATTTAGTCGTTATGTAATAAATGCTCTTTATATTACAAAGACTAGGTCTTTATCAAGTCGCAACGGATTATAGAATGCAAACTAGACGTTTATGTAATCCCGAAAATACCAAGATCGGCCAAGGATTTTCAGGGTTAGGAAATGGCCGGGATCCCGGGATTGTATTCTATAGTTGTGAGAGTGAATGGTTATCCATTAACCAATGGTTAACCATTGACGCTGTCAAATAAAGTGTCAAAAAATTCGACAATTACTGCTGTAGTAGCTATTGTGCTGCTTTCATTTCCAGTATAAAAATAAAATCGAAATAAACTATTACAGCTTTCATATGGTTTTAATAATTGAATAATCAATATAATTCCTGTTAATCAATAAAAAATCTTCAAAATTGGTCAATTCTATCCGCCAAACACGGCAGTAAAAAAATCTCTATCAAAACGGTTTAATTCATTCTTTCAAAGAGAATTTATACAATTTTCTATGAATTAACTATGAAAAATCTAAAATCATGGCATGGTTTAAATGTTGTCGGTAAATACTCGATACTGAGTAGAATACTTTTATAGTGTCGATAACTAATTTTGACTAGAAGCACTACCTATTTGACATTCACCTCGCCTTTAAATTCTGCTGTCAAATCTGTGTTCCGGCCAGATTACAATTTATGTTCCGGCCTGTGGTTCGTGGTTCCGGCCCAGTCTCTCTCTCTCGGTGGTTATCCAATTATCTTTTTTTTTGCTAATCTTTTGTGATTCTATGATTAAATCACGATTTTATTAGGATTAAGAAAAACGTGTAGTACTTATTAAAAGTACCTCAATTTTATTAAGAGTCAAATCGTTACAAAATATGCTATCTGTCTTTGGTCTGTCTGTTATGGCAACTTATATTGGAAGCACTTTAGAATCGGTGACTACGCCTACGTACGCAGAAGGGAGGGGGGAGGGGAGGGGGAGGGGGGTAACTCCCTCCCCATCACTCGCCAAAGCGCGGAGGAGCATAGTTTCGAAAAAAAAAGAAAAAAACAAATTTTGCTGTTACATCATCCAGATAAATTAAAATTTCGAAAATACATTAAGTACCTAAGATAAACTAAATAAAACAGGAGTAAAATAAAAACAAAATATAATATTTTATAAACATATTTAATGACTATAATTAGTTCTTCAAAAGCATCTAAATGGTTTTTTTTTTAATTTCTAAACGCCATAAATATTCAATTCACCAATCTTCAAAATTTTCTTTATAGTTTGTTTTGTGGAATCTTAATTAAAGATAACATATATCAATCATTTTTATTGGCCATGTTCTGTCTGTGGTCTGAAAAAAAAAATAACCTCGAAATTAAAGACGATCGCTACGCTGCGCTTCGCGATCGTCTTAAATTTCTAACCTATCACGTGACCTACAGATATAAAACAATATTTGACTTTGTCCACTGAATTGGATTTAAGCGGCTCCGGCTTATAAAAACACTCTAAGAGTAGGGCAGACTAGTACTATGTGAGATTTGAAGTTGACTAATTCGGTTCTATATTAGCATTGTTATATATAAAACACCTTAAACATACCTATTATACTCTCCATATTCCACATTTTCAATAATTCCTCAGTGAAGAGGTACAATCGTTGTGGTGCACGACCTGCCCCTGATGATGAAGCCTGCGATTCAGTAGGTTCCTCCACCGACACTGATATCGCTAATCCACTTCCAAAAGGAGTCAGTGGCTCATTAGAGTCCAACACCGACGTCACTTCACCATTCTCTTAAGGAGTCGGCGGCTCATTAGAGTCCAACACCGGCATCACTTCACCATGACACAAAGGAACTGGCGGTTTCATAGAGTCCAACACCGTTATCACTTTACCATATTCACTATCACCTCAATCAGTCGAATGCATGAAGAAATAGCAATGGCATTCACAGAAGACTCGAGCGAAACACAGAAATACCGGCGCAACGCGAATTAAAGCTTTGAATAAACAAACGGCGGTTGACTGCTTGTTTAGTATAATCGTGTTTCATTTCACAGAACATTCTTCGTCGTCAAATACTCAGTATGCAGTTTAAGATGCATAAACGATGTGCGAATTTAAAATATCATAAAAAGATGCAATTTTCCGATAAACTGTTCAAATTTTAATTGGTTGTTACTTCATATTTTCTTTTTGTCACAAAAAACATAAAAAAATATCACGATACCATCAGCTGTATGCACATGAATCCCTTTGCTTTTCAATCGTGTCAATTTTTAAAACAAAAACATTTGTCAAACATAATAAAAACCTCGTTCAAAACAATATTTCAGACATATTTTCAAAAAATTATATCTCGAAAACTATCTCACTCCGCACTTTGATATTTTGGAAATTTATACCTCTTTAGTGTCTGTGTGTATAAAAAAAATATCAACACAATCTGCGTAGTCGCCGATACTAAAGCTGAGCCCTTATATTTACTAAATATGGCAAGCGAGGAACAAAAAGCACTAGCACTTTTTATAAAGGAAGTTCATTCGGCACTTAGAAGAACATCATTACACATTGGACCCAATAAAGCATGGCTAGAACATGTGAAAAATACGGATGTCCTAGAAAATTATGCAGCCTGCATGAATAAATTGGCAACAACTTACTGGGATGCAAACAGCGCAAAGGATTGTAATGACGTGGTTTCACGAATCGAGTGGTCTGCGGCATTTTGTCTAGACTATTTCGTAAACAAATTATATTTAAAATATAGAGAGAAGGATATTCAAATTGGCAGCAAAATACTTTGTATAAGTGTAGACACAAAAGAAAATTTTGGCACTCCAATTCAATTAATTGACGTAGGAAGCTGTTATAATCCATTTAAAATATTTGATTTTTTAAGTGTTTTCCCCATAGATTTATGTCCTGCTAATGATGGTGTATTTCAATGTGATATTTTGAGTGTAAATCTAGGTTCAAAGACAGAATTAGATGGAACTAAAGTTGTCCAGTTACAAGTTTCTTCATTCGATGTTGTGACATTTTGTTTTGTATTAGAATATATTCCAGACTCAAAATTACGAATTGAGGCATGTGTGAAAGCTTATGATTTATTGAAACCTGGAGGGTTACTTATCATTAATACACCTGACTCTAAACATGTTGGTGCAAATTTTAAAATAATGAAGTGTTGGCGATACACATTAGCACACATTGGATTTTCAAGAATAAAGTATGAAAAATTTAAGCATATGCATTGTATGGCGTTTAGGAAATCTATACACAAAGATATTGCAGTTAGATGGGCTAAATTACATAAAGAACCATACATGGAATACACTATGAATATACCTCAAGATTTCTGTCATACAAGTGATATTAAAAACTTCTTATCAACAAAAACAGTTACAACTTTTGATGATTTAAAAGAATTGCCATTTTGTGATGATATAGTTGGTTAATTATGTTAAATGTGTCAATGCACATATATTTTATCATTTTAATACATAGAAATCAGTCAGTGGTTTTATGGATTTATTGAGATCAAACTACTTGGTTATAAACACTTGTAGGTGTGTATGTACTTAATAAATCTTGTTTCAAAATTATTGAAGTCTTTTGATGAAGAAAAAAAATTTAATGTCACAAGTTTTTGTGCTTAAAATGTACCATTTCATTAGTCATCCTAGGATATAATTTATTTTGTCAACAAGGTATAGTGCATAAAAGAATTCTCAAGTTAAATGTTACGATTCAGTCTTATAATTAAGTTTATTCAATTGTTCCAAATTTGGCTTTACGTTTTTCAATTTTTTCCTTATTTTCAATATCTGTCATAATTTTAGAGACAGACTGGCCAAATCTTTCTGCCCTTTGTTTAAGTTTGTCAAGGTTCTCTGACAGTGAGCCACTTGAGCCAGTAATTGCACTGGAAGTATTCTGACCAAACCTCTGTTTCCTCGCTTCTTTCCTTTCAGCTTCAGTCATTTTGACAGGCAAACCAAATCTTTTAGCTCTCATCTCTAACCTTGTTTTAGGATCTATTTCTGCAGTTATTCTGACCTTGGTATTTTCACGGCTTTTCACTTCTTCTAATGGCTTTTCTTCAGGTACTTCAGTAACTGGTTTAGGTGCTTGCAAAGTTACAGAAGTAGCTCGATTTAAAACAATTTTTCTAGATCCAGCGTCTTTATTATCTCCATTTTTAGAACTCTTATCGTTTTCAGATATTTTTCGTTTGAGAATCCTGTGTTGCTTAGTATCATTTGAATCTTTAGATGGCGAATTGTCTGCGAGTGCTAATTCTTCGTTTATCGTGTCTACTGCACTATCGTCGAGAATGTCAGTATGATTTTTATCGTCTTCATCTTCTAGTACACCATCTGAATCGATTTCGTCAGAATCTAAATTAATATCTCCGTGGTCGTCTTGTGATATTGCTGCTTGAAGTCGCGCCACAAGTTCTGCTTTATCTCCCGCGTGGGGCAAACCTCGTGATTTTAGCTCTTTGCGTAGGTCTATTACCTTCATTTTGGATACATCAGTAACCGTTGAATCAGCCATTATAATGACAGAATAAGCAAATATTAAGCTTCCCGAAAAATCCGATCTATCAATCGACTAACACAACAAGCAACAAAAATCGCAACGCCGCTTACAAAGGTTGACATTGACAGTCATAGAGTAGTAGTAGAAGTAGATACCTCATGGGACAGGCGAAGGAACGAATCATATTCAGCCAAATCTTGAAGAGACAGTCGAAGAGTAAATAGTAGTAGTTTGACAGTAATTGTGTAGTTCTTCTTCTTCTTCTTTTATTAATGGCTTATCTGCGCATTTCGCACAATTCTGCCAATGTCAAGTGAATAAATAAATTTCTACATGTAAAATGAAAATGAAATTAATGAAAGATGGCGATGATGTTATATCGAATGACAGTTGAATCAATTGTGTAGTTTTTGTGGATATAAAACAATGTAGCAAATAAAGGATTGTAGAGTAAACGTTTAAAGTATTTTATAAATAAAAATTATATAATCCTTTTTTGACAGGAAAATTTTAAACAAAACGATAACATAGCAACCAAAATCATTTCTCTATGACTGGACGTATCGGTATTCCATCTTTATTTTTAACACATAGATTACTTGTAAATATATACCGCAAAAATTAATCCAAACAGTCTAGTCTTTGATATTATCCTATCAAATGTTTGCGTGAGCTTCCTTACTCCCTATAAACCTTATTATATTACCCAATAAGACGTAAGGGAGATTTTACTCCATAACTCTTGTTACACTACCCAATCATCAGGTTAAGGGAGCCTAGAAATTAGGTAGGCTTGCTTTCGTAAGGGTAAACGATCATTGAAATTGGGTAGTATAATAAGGGCGCTTGTGCACTACACTGAATTTTCAGGTCCGACGGTCTAATTTTTTCCTGTCCGATATGTCATTCCATATGTAGGTAATGCTAGCCTGTGCACTGTCAGGAATTTTACCGTCCGGAATTTTACTTTTCTCTATTCCGGACCGATTTTTTCAAGTCCGTGATGGCGGCAATGGAAATCGTGTTTACGCTTGTGCACTGCTATGTCCGCGATCCGGAAAATTCGTGAGCCTGCGGAGTAGGCGTGGGAAAAAAATAATCGATTTATGAAAAATCGGTTTTTATTTCGGCAATATTGTTAATTTTCGATTTACTGATAATCGATATTTATTGTATATTATTAAATGCGATTTTTTATATGATGAATTAATATAGTTGGGAAATATCACTGCATATGCTTTGGCAAACTCGATTGTGTTCTTATTTAATCATCGTATGGTTCTAGTATCTATACTTTTCTAGATTCTAGAATCATATCAAAAAAATCGATAACTTAAGGTAAGACAAATAAGTGTTGTTACGCTTAGACGCCTAAGCAACAGAGCCTACCTTAATAGAAATTAGTATAGAAATAGACTTAACCTTGAGAAAGGACATTAATTGCGGAAAAGAAGTGGAAATAGGGGATGAAAGTTTGCATGGATTTTTTTTTATATCAAAATTTGCTTTTAGGCAGTTGACAAGTATAAATAAATATTTGATAACAGAAGTATTCTAAAAGAAAAAGAATTATGCTCAAAGAAACTATACCACGCGTATAAAATATACCTTTATATAATACAGTCAACTGATCTTACAATGATTATAGTTAAATTATGACATTTGAAACTTACAATAGGATGGCTGATTTAAATGCCATCGTAAAGTTCCTTTTAGCATACTAATTTTCCGCTTACACGGCAATTATTTCGATTTGTTTAAGAAATGGCGCCAACAATTGGTCTATCTCTGTAATCGCTTGAAGTTGTTTTTATAAAACTTCGAAAAAATAGCACGATTATAAATTAAAACATCAAGTACTAGAACATTATAAGTAATTTTATTCTAATTTCACAGATATATTTAGCTATTGTATGTGAATAATGCTGTTCCTTAAATTTGTATTTCACATCTAATAGTAGTCATCCGACAATAGTAAAAAAAATGCTTTCGTCTTGCCTCAATTTATTAACTTTTATGTAAAATGATCCTGTCAGTTTATTATTTAGGTACCTTTCACTTATAAGGGGATGAACTCAATATTTGTTCTGTCTTCTACGTCGTCGCACGTAGAGTAACAAAGCAAGCAGTTACCGACGTTTCAAAAATCTCATCGTACCTAGCGTAAGTGACGTGTAGCTTCAAAGAGAGCTGCCCTAAACTGAGCCGCTCCGATCAGGAATAAAAAAACGGGCAAGTGCACAAGCCACTCATGTGGGTTTTTCATGTCATTCCGGGCCTATATAAATCTCTTTCTAAGTCTGTGCTTGATTTGGCTACTGAATTTTGATCAAGTCAGTGGTCAAAGACAATTTCAAATCTCTGACTTAAGTTTTTGTATCAGGTCTAGTTCAAAAAATATGATACATGTATCTTCTTATAATAAAACAGTATATTTTTAGAGATCCTCATATTTTATCGAGTTTTAGATTGAAAAACACATTGCTCTGGTAGATTTATCTAATGAAGATCTGGCTACAACGACCAATTCTCTTAAAATAATCGTATATTGAGTCCCGATATTAATAATAACTTTCCGATATCATATCTTATAAACACATCAAAATGTCGATGTTATCAAAGTTAAAATATCGATGTTTATTAATCATTGATTAATATCTATCATACTACTATTGTGATCTGCCCTGTGATTCTATAAAAATCCAAACTCGAATTCGAATTCACTTAGGTGTCCGGATTCACTTTAAAAAGCGGCATCCGCTCAATAATAATATAATAATAATATAATAATAATAAGTGAAGTGACTTTCGAAATGACATAGGAATAAAATATTTGAGATAAGTATAATCAATCTATTTGGTTTTGTATTTTTTATACAAAAACTGGAAACATTAGAATTTTTTCACTTAATGACTTGAATTCGGACACATGAGGGAATTCGAATATGGGTTCGGATGTTTATAGAATCGCTCTGCCGTTTGTTTAAAATATTTTTACTTTTTCGTTTAGAAATGGTGAGAAAGAATGAAAGTATCGATATCTTATAAGCATGGATCTCAAAAGAACTTGGTATCGAAGAAAAAGTATCGATACCCTGAGGTATCACTATTAATACCAATGATGAAGTATTTAAAAAAACATTAGTTCTCAAAATCAAATTAGGTATCGCTACGGTTATTTCTTGATTTCTCCATGACTACCCTTCCGGTTTTCTTTCATGTATTAAAGGAAATTAATTTCAAAACTCATATTCTATTTGTACTTTTTCATATTGATATCTAACGGTAAATGACTATCTTTAGTCCATTCTTTTGATAGAGTCGCCATCTAGTGAGGTGCTTTTTTAGTGCTTTCTTTTTTTCTTAAAATACTTCCTCATTGTATGTTATACATACGATTTGCACAGCTCTATTGGCCATGGTCTGTGTTCTTTTTTTGTTTTGGATTGGTTAAATAGTTTTGGATCATAATATACAATACAAAGATACTCTATGATCATAATGTTTGACTTAGTTTGGCTCTTTGCTGATTGTTTGAGAAAAGACCATCAAATTCCTTCAAAGATATATTTTATTTAGACGAGGAATACTCTTGAACTAGCAGTAGGTATACCGTGAGTTTATTTAAAAGAATTCCTATATAGTGTGTTATGTTATGAAACAGATAAAATATGAATACCCATCTGATTGACTGGTCTTCAGAGTTATCTGATTCAGATCATGCCGTAGATCTGCTCGTTAATGAATATGATACTACATCGATGCCATTGCCGGACATTGAATTCGAACCTCACCTTCTTATATCAAAAGTAAGTAATAATGCTTATGACAGTGCTTTTTATTAGTTAGACGGTCATAGTTATGAAAAGTCTGCCCTCACGAGTTTAATTCTGATATTTTGCTCTACACGGTCGACTTTTAGATCGCGCTTTGTTTTGAATACAATACTTACATATATTGGCTATTTACCAAATATAAGTATTAGTTGAATATCAACACGAAAATACGATTCAATTAATATCAAATGATAAGCTTTTTGAATAAAATATTGTCAATATAAAATTTTATGAAATTGTTGAATTATTCATAAACACCAAATAAATTTTATATTCATGTTTGGTAAAATGCCTAGTATATATTAGTAGCATCACAAATTTGTCATCTTTTGGGTTTTTATTTTTCTCAATAGTGAAAGAACATGAATTTCAATATCTGATTAAACTAGACTTACAAAAATGGGTTAAGAGTAAAATTTAAGTAACCAATATATCCTCATGAGAACATGTATCTTAAAACAATGTCTCAAAAATCCTGATTAGTCTAATACGCCAACTAGTCAGATGAGATCACAGACTGTTGAGATATTGGACATACCTATATATATTATCTTAAATGTTATATTCAAGGTCCGTAAACATTACATGGAATATATTATAAAACTTCTATCTATTAATTATGAAAATAACCAGAAACTCTTGAACAAAAATATATATCTGCCGAGTGCAATTTGGAGATGTGCAAAGAACATTGAAATGAAAGCTGCTCAGACTTGCATGGTTGTACAATTGTACAGGAAAAATATTGTAGCAGCGGTGAGTGTTTTTTTAATACTCCTAATATTTGTGCAATATGATTCTGTTTTGTTCAGAAAGTGTCATTCTTATTATCATTCACCTTATAATAAAAGTATAAAGATTTACATAGCAGCTAAATAAAATTAGACTTTAACTTAAAATCTGATGTATGTTATATACTCAATATTGCCATATTATTAGATAAATAGTTGTGGTGTCCTATTTAAAGTTTGCCTTTATTAGCTCAGTCAAACTAGTGTTTTGCTTGTGAATGATAGTTAATAAGCTGGGAACTATTCTAGTTTCATTTTGAAGTTCCTAGTTTTTAAAGTCTTATTAAATCAAAAGTCTGCAATATAAATTATTCAGTTATAACAATCACAAAAACCTTTTTTTAATTACCCCTAGGTTAGAATCCACTGTATCAAACAAACCAGTTGTAAAATGTTACTATTTATATTGTAACAGATTCCTTAATGTACTTCAAGATTGATGTATTTAAATATATTGAAAAATATTTTGAAAAATAATCTGATTACATTAAAATAACCATTCACAAATGATTTTTGTATAAATTCTATACTGATAAATATTTTTAATGAAATTTCTTAGAAAATCCAACAGCTCTGAGATGGGATGTCAAAGTATCTGGGGCTGTTGGATCATTTTATTTTAATTATTTAAAGTGTTAAATAATTATGCATGATCTCGTAACAGATAACAGAGCTAAAGAATGATACCAAAAGAGGAAAACTCAACAAAAAGCTATATGAATGTCTCCGTAAACCATCCGTAAACGAAAAGAAGCTGCAAACAACATTATCCAACACAATAGACTGCCATTGTCAGTGTGTTTGTAATAAACGAAAGAAATTCCGAAAAACAACAATATCACCTAAAACTATACCAAATGAGATATCCAATATGTCAACAAACGTAAAAAATGATGTTTCTATATATAATATACCAGTTATAGCTAATTTGCAAGCTGACAGTCCCCAAGTGGCCGATATCAATTATACAACTGCCTCTAAAAAATCACCTTTGTCAATTAATGTAAACCAAACAAAATTTTCTGATTTATCTCATAATCCACCAAGAATGTCCATTGAATCTCAAGACTCTGATGAATTAATGATGCAGTTAGAAAAACTGTTCCAATGTGATTCTCAAGAAGATGAATTATTTGAAGGTCCTTTATATGATAATCTTGAAACTTCTTTACAAGATGATCTCACTAAAAAGAAAGAATGTAATGAAACTCAATTAAATCAACCACATGAGTCAGTGATTAGTAACCATACAGCTCAAATCAAATCGCTCGACGAAAGATTAGCATCATTAACTGGTTTGTTAGTGAACAACTTTGACAATAATGTACAGCACGAAAAAGTAGAAAATCCTAAGAGTAATCATAAACCAAGTACAAGCAAATGGTTATGTGAAGAATACTTTCTTAAGGCAAAACTATTTGAGCTTTTGGATCAGATTGGTGACTGCAATAGGAAGAAGCTTGCTAGAGTAAGTAAAAATTTGTTCCTACTGATTGATAAGGGTAAAATTTTTTTTTTAGGTAAAGTTTAATTGTTATAATAAAAAAATTGAATTAAAATAATTCTATAAATTACGGATAGCCCTATTAAAAAAAACATTCCATTTTTCTTACAAGTATTGATTTTTTAAACTTTAGAGGGTAAGATTTCAGTTATTATGGCTATTAAAATTATATTTGTGACCAAAAAAATTATTATCTCGAGCTACTCCATGCTTCGAAAGCCACGTTAAGCCGTTAGTCGCGGCTGCATTTGCAGTCGTTAATACCCTCCAATCCGCATTGGGCCAGCGTGGAGGGTCATGGCCCATCCTCCTTAACCATCTATAAGGAAGGCCTGAGCCCCTGCAATGGGGACGTAAAAGGGCTGGTGATGATGATGATGCAAATTTAAATAAATATCTAATATAAACTAAGTCAACCTATTTGTACATTGATAGTTTTTAATCATTTGGAAATACAAATTGCATGAAACAGATTTGTTAACAAAGTCACTATACCCATGCTATGTGAAACGGGCTATAATTCTTTTTATTGGTAGTTGGTCATAAAACGATTTACATGTTTTGCTGTTCTTGTTTAATTTTTATTTTTTAATCTACTACTCTATGGCTGGTTTTTTGTGTAACGCGCAACGTGGGCGTTGAGGACTACCTGCGTAGCTATCTGCGCAAGCTGTCGGCGCATACTCTTTTTAGTGTTCTGTTGGTTATCGTGCCTATAACATCGTTAGCTTCAGTTAATTTCATCTCTTGCCAGTTAGCCCTCAGTATAAAGTGGTTTACAATATACTCACACGGGGTCCAAAATCTTGGTGCCTAACTTTTTGAATCTATTTCAAATAGACATTCGTCGAGAAGTCGACGACGTTTATTGAAATAGATTCAAAAAGTTAGGGTGTGTTCATGTCCTGCACTCCGATTCTGTAAAAATCCAGACTCGAATTCGAATTCACTCATGTGTCCGAATTTACGTTATTTAGTATAGAAATCTTATTGATTCCATTTTTTGTATAAAAATACTAAACAAAATTGATTGATTAAACGTGTTTTAGATATTTTAATCCTATATCATTTCGAAACTCACTTCACTTATGCCACGAAACATTATTACCAATTCAAGTTTGAGCGGATGCCGCTTTTTGAAGTGAATTCGGACACCTGATAAAGATGAAGTAATATAATTTCTTATTGCTAACATCTGTTGATGTATGTCAATGTACAATAGATATACTCACACAGCCTCACAATAGGATTACGATGCCTCTAATACAATAAACATCTGAGTAATAAATAACAGTCATTATGCCATGAAAATACGTCGAATAGTAAATCAAATTACAGCTGTTTTGATCTCATTATTATCGCTTAGCTTTTGGTATACAATTATTTTATGCCCTTATGGGCCGCCGGTCCGGATCTATTGTGGCGTTAGTGTAAATCCACAACTGATCATAATGGCGCGTTTTGATCACGAGTTTTTTTACCAGTTATAGATTTTTGTGTTTCCAGATCAAAGAAATGTTAACAGAGCTATTTGGCGAAGATAGTGATGAAGAATGCATAATGTCACCCTTAGAAGAGACGCCTGAATTCGTCATAAGTTGTAAAGAGCGCATTGCTCCTTGGGTGGTTAAACTTCTTACACCTTATTATATAAAAGGACGAATAAGAGGCAAAAGTCTTTTTAAGGCATTGGCTAAACATTTAATAAGACTGATTTATCAATGTAGTCGATATCCACGTAAGTATATCATACTGCAATTTTTATTTAGTTAAATTAAAAACAATTATAGGTATGTATAGTTATTCAAAAATAGTCCGCAAACATTACAATCATTAAATTTTAAAATAATTTGATCATTATAAAATTTGAATACCAACAATGCGTAAGTTTTTAGCCTCGATAACTTAAAATATTAAAAGTGTCTAAAGAATATTTCATATTTGTAAGTGAACTTCAATTTCCAAACTTCTCAGCTATATAAAGCACTTCAAAAATTCAGGGATGTTTAATTTCTGCTCATTAGTTTCATTATAAAAACGTTTTATAATGATATATGCAAGTTACGCAGTCAGAGTTGCCATGCTCTTCAATTTTTCCATGATAGTTCCGATCCCTGCGGCCTTTTAATTTTGTCTCGATCTATGATAACTTCTGAAAATAGTTAGACTCGTGACCACACCACGTCGAACAAACATGCACCTTTGCACCTTTATATATATTTTTCTATATAAAGGTGCAAAGGTGCATGTTTGAAGATAGAAGAAAGTTTACCATTATTTTACCATTTCTGTGTTTTGATTTATATCTTAGATTATTTTGATAATCTGGACTGCCATCCGCCTGTTTCGTTTCTTATTTGACACAATTTTTTTCCCCATAAGATGACTGGCAACCCTGCTTATTGAAGCTAGATCAGATAGTATGGATTTTACAGATTCGTAACGGTTTTTGAGTAATTAATTTACCTATCTTAAAAAGAAATCGATTTGCCATTACAGAAAGTAAAACACAACAAGTCGCAGCATCAGTCTTTGTTTGCGAAGTATGTTCTGCCCAAACGTAGAATTTTACTACTTTAACATGTACTTTATTAACGACGAACCAATGATGATTAGATGTGATAGTAGCGTTACCAAATTACCCCTTTCCGCCCATACGTCATTTAAATGGATTATGTGTTCTGAACACTGCTCAATGTAAATTCATAGCAGGCATTGTCTTTTATAAAATACTGTTATGCCAGCTATACACGTAACAACATACTTGTGCAAGTTTGGACATGTATAAATAACGTAGCACTTTCGGTGCTAGATCTGGAACTATTTTCCCAGGGTAGGCACCGAAATTTGACTTTTAGCGCCTAGCGCCAAATCTAGCACTATTTAGTATTTTTAATTTATTTTTTACTCACAGTTGGATTTTATAGATAAGGTCAAAGAAAATGAAACGCGGAGAGATTTAAAGATGATTAGAAAGACGACGTCTGTACTTTAAAAAAAGAACTCAGAAATCTGGATAATTCAATGTTTCATTGTCTCACGCAGTCCCTAGATAAAAAAAATCCGTTAGTTCAAATAAGCATGTTGCCAGTGGTAATTTCGCCATCTTCTCGTCAAGTTTCTATTTTCTGACCTTCATTTTTATTGAGGTTCGACCAGTTTAAAATCTCGTTATCTCTTTTTTGCAGAAGAGTATGAAGTGAACAGTTTTGTATCAGATTTCTTGCAAAATCATAAAATGATTAGGTGTGAAGCAGACTTCAAGCAATTTAGAATTGAGAACTTGTAAATGTTATCCGAATTATATAAACATAGTTCACTTGCAAAGTCTAACGTTGTTTAAATTTTAATAAATTTTATTAAAACCTATTTGCATTTAAACATTATATATAAAATTTAAGTTCGAAATATATTGGCAATGTTCCAGGAATATGATATACCGTCGACAGCACATCAGATAAAACACAGGTCAATTTTTTTTTAAATTAAAATTGTTTAAATTTTAAAATTAATTGTTGAAATTTGGCCATTTGTAGTAACCTGGTGTGGTGCTGAATGTGTACCTATCCAAGTAAGCCATTTCCCACATACTTCTACATTTATTTGAACAGTGTTTTCTGTTGGACAATTCAATAAAGTTTTATGCCTAATAATGTGAAGGTAAATTAATTCTAATTAATTAACCTTATCAACATACTAAGAATTTACGTAACATGTTATATGTAAATATTAAACCAAAGTGATAATGTACTTGTTTGAGATGGATAATAAAATGTTATCATTCTATTTATATGTATCATTTTAAATTCATAATCAACAGCGTATAGGCTTAATTTTCTTCTACGCTGGCAATGGTCACTTATGTTAAACCCAATTTCTATCTGTGGGACTACTACCGCACAACGACGCTGATAGCCGCGACAGATTATGCACGCTATGCACCACTATCGGCCGGTTAACTATAAAACTCCGGTCGCCCGTGCGTGCGAGCGAGCGAGCAGAAACACATACCCTGTTCACTGGGTGCACGACGACGGCGCCAACTAGCGGTTACAATTATGTCGGACTTTGATATGTCAAATGGCTGGCATTCAATACGAAATACTCATACAAAAAAGAATTTAAATGAAATAACTTAGATTCTAAAAACATCAATCATGTAAGTCTAGTATCTAATAATGTTGATCTTTTTTATTTGCCGTCTAGAACGCTACGACCAATAAATTTCAGGTAGTTTTTCTTATTGCTGACTTTACGGGCACTTATAACACTTTAAACTGCATTATGGAATTTTTCATTCAAATCCAATTCTTAGAAATATCATAAAAATCTAGAAAATAATCTCAAAAACATACACGGCCTTATTTATTGGATAATATTGAGAACTGCAAAACTAATAAGCAGCAAATATGCAAAACATCTAATACAGAAGAATTAAAATTAATAAAAGACAGCCCGTTGCACAAACATCCATTAAAATTTCCATTAGCTTAAAGCGACATTATTCATATAAATTCGACATTAATTAGAGCTTGAAGGCGTTATTGAACCTTAATGGATGTGTGTACAACTTACCGTGGTAGTCTTAGCTATTGCATTATCCTCGACTTCGACCACTGTTTTTGCTTATGTGTTTATTAATTTCATTTAAACGCATAGATACGATAATTTTAATGGTAAAAAGTAACCGTTTTTTTTGCGATAGATAGATTCGATAGATTCATGGTTTTCTCACCACCTACTTCGCACTCAGCGAATACTCAGTACGTAATGAACATTGACACGGAAATAATATTTGGTCATCATCATCAGCCGTAAGATCCTTACTGCTGAGCATAGGCCTCCTTTTCCCATGGATTTCCACGACGATCGGTCTTGCGCAGCCCGCATCCAGCGGTTTCCCGTAACCTTTATAAGGCGCCTATTACACTACCCAATCTATCGGGCACGGTATATCGACCGCGATTTAGGGCGGTTGGTGTCGTTGTGATTACACTGCACTAGATCGCCTCCCTAACTCAGTTGGCATGCAAACGTGGCGTTGAAAGGATGGCTCCTTCGCTCACAAAGTACCAAAAAATTGGCATAGCCCATACTTTAACTGCGGGCGTAAATAATAAAACAAAATGTTGGGTGAAAAATATTTGCTTCTAAGAGACCAACTATGCAGTTTGAACTACTTAGCCCGCAGTTAAACTTTAACTGCGGGCGTAAATAATAAAACAAAATGTTGGGTGAAAAATATTTGCTTCTAAATGACCAACTATGCAGTTTGAACTACTACAGAATGAGTTCTGCACAATTTGATCATATATTAAACTTAGTCATACCTTATATAGCGCAAAACAGCGGTTAGCTGTGCTGTAACCTTAAAATTTAAGCAACGGGAAATGCATATCATGACTTAAAGTATAAATACTCAATAAGTTTATTGTTTCCATAGGTAATTTAAAATAATATTACATAATTAAGTTAGTCTCACTATGGACCCTATCTGTCACAACAATAATATAGTTTATTATAGCATTAGTTTTTATTATTGTAATTTATATAAAATTTATAATTGTACCAGACACATGCAAAGGCTATCTAGAAATGTTTAAAACATTATATCATATTGATATATATATATAAGAAAAAGTAATAATATTAAATTACACTTAATATTATTTCTTTTCCTTTTGAGAAGACATTTTTGTCTGTTCGCTCGTTGTCGTTCACTGACGTCTCACACGCACGCTGCGCAACAACCGACTGAGCGCTCTAAGGCGCCTATTACACTACCCAATCTATCGGGCCCGATCCATCGGGTACACTGTAAATTGGGTAGTCTAATCGCAGTTAGAGAGTTAGGGTCCCGATATCGGGTGAACGTGGGCGCCCAATCGCCCGATGAGAGTTAGGGCCGATTTATCGGGTAATGTGATCGCTTTTAGGGTGTTAGAGCGCTCAGTCGGTTGTTGCGCAGCGTGCGTGTGAGACGTCAGTGAACGACAACGAAATTTGCGAACAGACAAAAATGTCTTCTCAAAAGGAAAAGAAATAATATTAAGTGTAATTTAATATTATTACTTTTTCTTATATATATATATATATATATATATTTATCAATATGATATAATGTTTTAAACATTTCTAGATAGCCTTTGCATGTGTCTGGTACAATTATAAATTTTATATAAATTACAATAATAAAAACTAATGCTATAATAAACTTTATATTATTGTTGTGCCCGATAGGGTCCATAGTGAGACTAACTTAATTATGTAATATTATTTTAAATTACCTATGGAAACAATAAACTTATTGAGTATTTATACTTTAAGTTATGATATGCATTTCCCGTTGCTAAAAATTTTAAGGTTACAGTACATCTAACCGCTGTTTTGCGCTATATAAGGTATGACTAAGTTTAATATATGATCAAATTGTGCAGAACTCATTCTGTAGTAGTTCAAACTGCATAGTTGGTCATTAGGAAGCAAATATTTTTCACCCAACATTTTGTTTTATTATTTACGCCCGCAGTTAAAGTATGGGCTATGCCAATTTTTTGGTACTTTGTGAGCGAAGGAGCCATCCTTTCAACGCCACGTTTGCATGCCAACTGAGTTAGGGAGGCGATCTAGTGCAGTGTAATCACAACGACACCAACCGCCCTAAATCGCGGCCGATATATCGTGCCCGATAGATTGGGTAGTGTAATAGGCGCCTAACACCCTAACAGCGATCACATTACCCGATAAATCGGCCCTAACTCTCATCGGGCGATCGAGCGCCCACGTTCACCCGATATCGGGACCCTAACTCTCTAACTGAGATTAGACTACCCAATTTACAGTGCACCCGATGGATCGGGCCCGATAGATTGGGTAGTGTAATAGGCGCCTAAGATCGCCGGTCCACCTGGTGGGAGGTTTACCCACTGAGCGGCGTCCGGTACGTGGTCGCCATTCCAGAAGTCTTCTGCCCCAACGGCCATCGGTTCTTCTCGTTATGTGTCCCGCCCACTGCCTCTTCAGCTGAGCAATGTCAGTAACATTAATTCTCCTACGGATCTCCTCATTCCTAATTCAATCACGTAGAGAGATACCAAGCATTGCTCTCTCTATTGCCCGCTGGGTAATCTTGAGCCTTCTTATGAGACCCATAGTGAACGACCACACTTCGCTTCCGTAAGTCATCACTGGCAACACACACTGATTCAAGGCTTTGGTCTTGAGACAAGGGCTCAGCCATTAAGACTACATCATCAGCAAAGCATAGGTGTGTAAGATTAATATAGATGCCGTATCCTTTCCAATCCAGAAGCTTGAAAATATCCTCCAACGCAGCGGTGAATAGCTTTGGAGAGATAACGTTTCCCGGCCTTACGCCTCGCTGCAATTCTGGTTTTGTAATCGGACTGACATAGTAACATTCTAATACAGAGACTTTAGTGCTTCGATGTACCTGTAGTCCACATGGCACCTTTGGAGAGACTGCATCACCGCTCATGTCTCTATCGAATCAAAGGATTTCTCGTTTTGAAAAACAGGACGACCTGATTCCTTCGTCACCCGTTGCCTTGTTGTTTTTCAGTTGTTTAAGAGCCCTGTTAATCTCATACAGACTAACGTCCAGGATTTCTTCGGTAGTGTCGGGTAAGTTTGGCGCTAGGATATCTTGCCTTGCTTTCGGCAGGTATTTGCGTGGAGTAAAGCTGTCCATAGAAACTCTTGATCTTCTTTAAGATTTCCGCTTTTTGGGCATAACACTAGATTCAAAACTGCAATGGAACCCGCATATTTCTATATTAGCTGGTAAACTCTGCTCGGCTGCATACGCCATACGAAAAATAAGACAAATTACCGATATAGAAACTGCACGGAGAGTGTACTTTAGTTATTTTCATAGTATCATGTCCTATGGCATTATATTGTGGGGAACGGCAGCCGATATTCGGTCTATATTTGTTTTACAAAAAAGGGCAATAAGATCTATCTATCAGTTGGGCTCGCGAATATCTCTAAGAGAGAAATTTAAACAAATTGCATCTCAATTTATATATAGTTGTATACTTTTTGTCCATAGTGATGTACACAAACGTAATACTAGAAAGGTATTAAGTTTGTGTACACTTGGTCAAGGTATACAATACTTTAATAAGATCCCCAGTGATTTATTAGATATGCCAATAAATCTTTTTAAAAGTCATATTAAAAATTGTCTACAAAGTAAAGGATATTATACCGTTAAGCAAAAACTAAATGACAAAAAGTCATGGTGTTAGATATTTTAACTTTATTGTATTTACTTTCTAATATTGTAATATTCAATAAGATTTCTCTCTGTGTAATAAAACAGGTAGAAAAAATAGCCCTTGCTGAGTTTCTTGCCGGTTCTTCTCAGTACAAGGTCTCCCGCCGTAGTTTTGCGAACCGATGGCGTAGTTTTCGACTTTCACAAGTGCTCTGTAAAGGCCTAAACTGAATAAATAAATTTTGATTGATTAATTGATTTGACGAGATGATCAGTACCGTCTTAAGCACAACAGGCGCCCGGGTGTATGCAAGACGATGCTCTTAGCTGTCTCTGGGAGCGCCGCGGCGCCCCCTTGAGTTAAGCCGCCCCTGGAGATGATGCTACCGTCGTCAGATTTCAGCCTCGTCAATTGGCTTTGCCCAATAGACAGATCTTTCGCGAAAACTTTAGAGCCTTTGTTCCACTCAATTGTCTCTTTAATACATCCCGTACTAAATCGGCGAAGGTCGCTTCTCATCTTAATATCGGTAACAATAACGACTTGCATCCATTAAATTTTGCAGCCTCATTTCGTGTCTCATTTGCATGAGTTGGAGTGTGTTATCAGAGAGTTTCTTGGT